ACTATTGTTGATTGTACCGCACCAGGTTAGGCATGCCCCTTAACGATAGCCGCCCCCGGATCCAAATTTGCGTGCTCGGAGAAACTATTTCAGGCCGCAGTGAGTCGTAAGAGTTGGCTAAGTTGTAGCACTGGTTGAGTGTCAATAGAACTCGAGGAAATAACAGCTTACTGAGTGCACATTAAATTGGTTTTTCAACAATTAAGTTAGCTGACGATAAGTCTTTGGTGTTGTGAGCGTGCTAGCTGTTGCATAGCGTGATTGAGGCAAGCATTACAATATAATTCCATTTGTGTCTCGTAAGCTTCATTTGATTCCACCGCCCACGTAGAGATTTTAAAATGACGAGAAACGCTTATAACCAAACAACTTTCAAAGAAAAGTAAAGACATTCTTGGTCAATTGATATTGCGGACGGCGTCTAGGAGACGTTACGTGCCATTATAATATAATGCGTTACCTGTCAATCGAGACGTTACGTGCCATTATAATATTGACGACAGACGTCGGATGACAGAACGACAGACGTCGGATGACAGGACGATAGACGCCGGATGACAGGACAACAGACGTCGGATGACATGACAACAGACGTCGGATGACAGGACAACAGATGTCGGATGACAGGACGACAGACGTCGGATGATAGGACAACAGATGTCGGATGACAGGCCGACAAACGTCGGATGACAGGGCAACAGACATCGGATGACAGGACAACAGACGTCGGATGACAGGCCGACAAACGTCGGATGACAGGACAACAGCTGTCTCTTATACACATCTAGATGTGTATAAGAGACAGGATCAGGATCATGACCGACGTCACCTGATCGGGCAGATCAGGATCATGACCGACGTCACCTGATCGGACAGATCAGGATCATGACCGACGTCACCTGATCAGGCAGATCAGGATCATGACCGACGTCACCTGATCAGGCAGATCAGGATCATGACCGACTTCGTCTGACTGCAAAGTGTATCGTAGGTATTTCGAACGAACTGAAATTTGAGGTAATAAAATCAACGCTAACTGACTAATAATGATGTCTATGAGAGGCAAAACTTTGGAAGCAACAACTTAAGACGTCGTTTGTTGTGTCGCCTGAATAATTTAAAAAAATATTTTGACTTGAAACTTTCGCATTCCAATTTCGTCAACTGAAATCCCCTTGCGGGATAAATTCTTGCGCTTTTTATGTACTATGTAAAGCCCGAAGAGCTCTCCAATAAATGCAGGAAGTGAATTGGGAGCTTAAGGGAGCTTTTCGAAGCCCAAGTAAAGATTTTACGAGACCTCTTAGTCAAGAGAGGCTAACTCGATGAGAATAAGCCTAAATGAACGGCCTGCGCGAATGGGATAGGCCTGCATGAACGGCCTGCTGGAATAGGATAGGCCTGCATGAACGGCCTGCTCGAATAGGATAGGCCTGCATGAACGGCCTGCTGGAATTGGAGGGGCCTGCATGAACGATCTGCTGGAATAGGATAGGCCTGCATGAACGGCCTGCTGGAATAGGATAGGCCTGCATGAGCGGCCTGCTGGAATAGGATAGGCCTGCACGAGAGGCCTGCTCGAGAAGCCCTGCCGTCAAAATCTCGCCGCTTCGCAGGATTTCACCGAATTTCCCACGCCCAGATTGCAAATCGCTGCTGACTCGTCAGAGGCGTTTTGTGGCGCACCAGGCAAACCCCGGCGACAAGAATAGGAAGTGTTGAAGTGATTCACTTTACCACAGGAATGGTTTTTGCGAAATACCGGTAAATAAGAGGTGGTAACAAGTGAGAGGTGGAATATTTTGGGTTGGATCAATTATGAAATGGCATCAAATAGAAGGGGGCACTAGTAATTAATTAGAGGTGTTACCAAGAAAAGGTGGATTATAATGACTGGCATCAAATAAGAAGTGTTATTTATAAATAAATAAGAATTTGGTGTCATTTGTAAATAAGTGTTAGAAATAAAAGGTGGCAATTGAAGTGGAGGAAGAGAAAGCGCTGCCATGTGTTGCAAGAAGATAGGCAAAGCAAAAAAAAGCCAATTGTTACTGAAGAGGAATGAGAAGAAGGAGCTGATTCTTTCTGGCCTAATACATGAGGCTGCTTAATCACAATTAAAATAAATTGAATGTGTGGGTAAGGCTAGGACATCGTTACTCTGCTTCTGGAACGATTAACAACATCCTGTCTCTTATACACATCTAGATGTGTATAAGAGACAGGGTCACGAGGTACGGATAGGTCATGAGGTACGGATAGATCATGAAGTACGGATAGGTCATGAGGTGCCCAAAAGATTTTGGCCGCAGATGGCATCGTGGTACTGAAAAGTTGTCCTCATCGTGTAACGCAGCAGTGCAGGTGTTGGTGACGACGTTGAGGGCAACATTGCACTCGACTAATGTATAAAAAACTTCCCACGCAGTCTGTTCCATGTCTCTAACAATTCAATTAGTTAAAGTAAATAGTTAGATTTACGCTCAGATACGCGCTGACTTAAAAATTAGTCAATAGGAGGGAAAATACTTATTGAGAAATGTCTCTTATTTTCAGAAGATATTTCAACCGTTGGTTGACTATCAAAGGATTGCATAAATTTCTTTAGTGTATGGCTTACAAATATTTGATCGAAAGACATGTTCGAGTTGAAATGAGAGTTAATATTGAACGAAATTGAAGATAAATTACCAATTTAGTGCTAAGTTCCTGAATGATTTCATGTAAAAAACACGGCTGTTTGTAAAGGACAAGTACTGGATCCGAGTATTTTTTGCAAGAGTAATTATTAGGAGTATTCGCAAGAAAAAAAAGTATTCGGCAAGTATTTCGGCAGTATTTGCGAAGAATTTCATATTTGGTCAGAATGCTTGTTGGGAAAGAGGGTTTAAGGGGACCGCCCTAGCTAAAATTTGAAAATTTTGAGTTTTTCTGTTTCTTATCTCATCTTAAAGGTTGTTTTCTTGCGCATCGAACGGTATAAGTATCGTCCCTGTACGTCGAAAAATGACTTTGTGACAGCTCCTCAAAGGGAGGCGGGTTTTAGGTCCCTTAAGGGGACCCACTACCCTAAAATTTTCAATTTTGGCGTTTTTCGGTTTTTGTGCTCATCTGAAAGCTGGAATTCTGCTCTTTCCAATGGTACCACTGCCATCGCTGTAAGCCAATATTTACGTTCATGACGTCTCTTTAAAGGGAAGCGGGTGAGAGAGTTCTTTAAGTAATTAGATATAAAGTAATTAGCTGCTGAAATCTTTGAATATAGTTTCTACTTGAGTTGTGTATGGTCACAGAGAACTGTATAGATGGTCAATGAGAACTGCATAGATGGTCATAGAGAACTGCATAGATGGTCACAGAGAACTGTATAGATGGTCAAGAATTGACGAGACGTTTATTACATTAGATAAACTCTTGAATCGGGGACATTCACATTCATTTAATTGGATGTATATAATAATGATAGTGAAAATAATGTTGATGAATGAGATGTCCCATGAATAGATGTAATCACTTTTATTTTTTAGAAATAATTTAGTCTTGTCGAATAAAAGATAGACTGTCTACAGATTGCGAGATGTAGAAATGCAGGATTATTTTACGTTGCCGTGTAATGTCCGCAATAGTTTAATAAGATTTTACTTTGTCGTGTGGTTATCTGCAATAGTTTACTGAGAATTTACTTTATCGTTTGTATAATAATAATTTACCAAGAGTTGAATTACTGCGTGTTCGTCCACAATAGTTTACTAAGAGTTAAATTGCCGTTTATTTGTCTGCAAGAGTTATATATGAGTTTACTTTGTCGTGTTGTTGTCAACAAATTATCCACTGGACAAGCTGGTCATGATGGCTTATAACATTTCTCGTTGTGACCAGATCCTCTCTTTAAAAGTCAAGATCTACTTAAAGACCACAAAGAACTCGCGCCTCGATTCCAGTTTTACAGCATCTCAAGATTTTCTGGCCAAGATCTCAAGGGTTTGTGGCCTAGCGAAAATTTCGTCAGTTTGATGGGAGGCTCGACTGCTGTTTTCATTTGCGGGTTTTCCGCGTTAAAGAAGCTCATCACAGTTGTGCGAACTTATTTTTTTGAAGCTGTCGTTGTTCCTTGGCACATTTCTCGTTCTGATGCGACAAAGAATTTTTTATGAAAACGAGATGAGATTTCTTACACGTTATTAGAATTATTCGGAGCTTGAAGCTAATTTAAGTTTAGTCTTACATCTGAAGCCTTTTTATAAAGTAATGTGAGACATAAAATGATTGTTAGGTATCAACTCATACTGTATGGCTGCTACCGAAGTGATGAACTCTGATGTGTTATGATACCATGACTCTGGTCAGGATATTATGATACCATGACTCTGGTCAGGATATTATGATACCATGACTCTGGTCAGGATATTATGATACCATGACTCTGGTCAGGATATTATGATACCATGACTCTGGTCAGGATATTATGATACCATGACTCTGGTCAGGATATTACGATACCATGACTTATGGTATCATAATATCCATTATATAATATCTTTATTCATTTATTAATGAAACTAAAAAATCACAGTAAAATTAGAATTGCTCAACGATTTAACCCAAGAAAAATTATTAATGCGTTAGAAAAATTATAAGAGGTGATCGCGTGGTTGGAAGCAGCGGGGCGACACATCAGAGAAAAGACCGCCCGACTATTAAATTCAATCGTTAACCGAAACAGCAATCACAAACAAATTGCTTTCTACTAAAGCTTCATATATCTCTTCTATAATAAGGGCTAAAAATCGTAAAAATTAGGACTATTTACGATTCCTTCCTTAAGAGAAAAATTTAATAAAGCAGCATACGGTTACATCAAAGCCCCATTTATCGCTGGGAAGCTAAGGTCTGCACAAGACGCAGCGTTGAGGCGATATTTTGTGAGCTTAACATGCCGATACTCGAGGCTATTGAGCCTACAAATGAGGCGATATTTTGTGAGCTAAACATGCTGATACTCGAGGCTATTGAGCCTACAAATGAGATTTGCCGCGAGCTGCTCCAGCCAATTGCTATGGGCAATAAAAGCTGCCATAACAGCGCTTGTGAAGCTCCGGGTGCCATCCACGTATTAGAGCTATGCATCATTTTACGCAAGGGCAAATTTAGGTGAAAATATTATATTTTTACTCAATTTTCAGTAGCAACTTCTTACAAACGGGTCGGGGTTTGAAAATATATCTGTTGAAAAATTCACAGAATCACAGAATTGCGAAATTATCTTGCACTTATGGTAGCGCGCACAACTGGACATTTCTGCATAAGCGGCGTAAAATATAATAAAATCACTAATTTCTTCTTCAATTTTTAATGGTAAATGGTAATTTTCATGATTTTTTTACCAACAACTGGTCTCAATTCACAGGAACATTCAGCCAAATCCTTAATTCATGACATGACTTATTTCATTATCCTACTCGCTCATAAACAATGAAAACTCTTCCTTATTAACATTAAGGTTTAGGCCTTCTATTTTTCGAACCTTTATAATGTATTACTTCGTGAGTAATTAGCAGCTTGTCCGTTATTCTGGACAGGGAATATATTCAACATGAAAATCTCGTTTTTCGAATCCTGTCATCCCGAATCCGATCAGCTGAAATCCCGTCATGACGAATTCAGGCTTCTTGAATCTCGTCTTCCCAAATCCAGTTAGTAATTTTGGCGATAATTACGCCAATTAAAGCAAATCTTCTTCCGTCTCACGTTGAGCACGTAACTCATACTTCGATTTCTTATTTTTGGTTAATGTTATTAGAAAAGTATATATTTTTGAACAAAATTGACAATTGTATACATTACATTCCAATCTTTTAAATCAACTTTCACCTCCGATTATTCAATACTTCGTGATTCCACCGCAACAAATAAAACTTTATTATGAAGTAATATCCCTAGACGGTAAGTATCACGGATACGAGCCCTTTATATATGTGGCGTCTGGTTTATAACACATAAATAAACTGTGATGAATATCTAAGTAATTAATTGGTGCAAGGTAATCTTATGTATATTTATCCATGTTTGTGTGTCTGAAGCCTAACACCGCTAATATTTGGTGGCTGTTGGGGCGCGTATCCAGGATACTTATCGTGTCGGGATATTGCCTGGACCTAAGTTTTATTCTTGGTGGGAGAATATGAAAGAATAGGAGAAAAGGGGGGAAAGAACTAGATCCAGAAATGAAATATTACTTTTCAAATTGGTGAATATAAATGTGAACGCAAAATAGTATGTTTCATATTTTAAAACTAGAGTAAAATTAGAGTAATATCTTCAATTTAAAATGTTAGTCTGAATTAGGCTTTATTTAATTAGAATACATGCGCCGGATTATTATTCACGGGATTCGCGATTAAGGGGATGGATTCCAAAATTTCAACAATTAACAATTATTAATAATCTTGACTACTTACGATGAGGTCAGCGATAGCAAGATGCAGAAGCATGAAGTTGACCCGCGACTTCCTGTGTCGTCGTGAGCCCGCCAAGATGGCACGAAGAACACACATGTTCCCGACCACCCCCACGACCATGATGACGGTGTAGCAGGCGATGAAGATGACAGTGCTGTCGTTGAACTGCATGTCCTCCGGCAGCTCAGTGACATTCACTGGCCCTAGGAGGTCGTGGGTGTTGGAATAGAATTCTGAAGACATTGAGGATAGTGTGGAGGATAGTGTTGAGGATAGTGTTGAGGATAGTGTTGAGGATAGTGTTGAGGATAGTGTTGAGGATAGTGTTGAGGATAGTGTTGAGGATAGTGTTGAGTTTGGGTTCTCCACGGCCGCATCATCTGCAATGAAAGCCTCTTGGTCCTGTGGTGACGTTGGTTGTTGCGGGTGATAAGTGTTAGTTACTTGAGATGTGGTGGGTATAAAATAGGAAGAAGTACCCAGAAGATCTGTTGAAATGTTCATCGGGTTCTTCATGGTGGAGGTTGATTGAATAACAAAGTTCGAGATCATGTTCAACACAGATACGGCCATCACAAATGATTGAATTCAACCATTATAAATGGGACTGAGACAATATTTATCACCGTATGCAAAGACTTCACTGTCAGTAGAATATATTTATTTCCGTATACTGAAATTTCTCTGTAATAAAGTCTATGGAGATCAAAATGATTATTGATGATCATATTTTTTTGGAATATTGATTTGCTAGCACAAACTGTAAAATCTTTGAAAAAATTATGAGAAAAGAATATGCCCTAATTCCAGCTCTTTAATACAAATCATTATTGAAATGCTGATTCCCTGAAGCTTCTTATCGTGATTAAGGGATAAATGTTCGTTGTTTGTAATGTTATAGTGGTTATTATAGCCATGAACGATCGACAGTCTAATAAGGAACGATTCTAGTTAATTTATTCCTCCTGCATATTTTTTAATTCATTACTAATAATAATAAAGATCCTATTTGAGATTTGCATTTTCCGTGTTATGAAGAAGGTATTGAAGAATTGGCCACTATATACAACATAAATAAAACGGTTCCGCATGAATGTCTAAAATGCGTCTTTATCCATAAATAACATTCTTTGTTGGTCGATAATGAAGTTAAAATATTTCTATGTTCTTTAAAAAAATGTAAAACGACCTAATAAAACTACTTGGTTCGGAAGCAACTAAATAATGGGAGCTTGTTATTGGGTTTAGTACGAGCTTACAATTATATTTTAACTTCAATAATTAAGCGTCATTCCCGGCCATAATAATAATTTTGAACAACGGCACTACTTTATTATAATATACCAGATTTTTTATAAAATCGCTCGAAGCTCACCATTAACATTTCAAAAAATAATTTTTTTTCTTTGACGCTGCGCATGCATTGGATGCAGAACTAACTCTCAAGAACAATAATGGAAAAATATAATAGGATATAAAGTTTCTTGTCCATTCAAACATCATAAGAACAAATTATAAAATAAGTGGCAATTCTGCGGAGCCTGAAGCCAATTGCGCGCGAGATGAGTTTATTGCAAATGAACGAGCCGCGGCATACATAGCAAACTCTATCTGGAAGTGGGCTGGGAAAAGTTATTGTTCGATTTTAAATCCCTCCAAGAATTTAAGGTTAGTATAATGAACCGGATTAATGTTGACTATTGATGTTAGTCATAACTTTTCGGTGATGCATTACTATAATGAGCTCTCTGACATCAAGAAATCTAATAAAAAATTTATATCAGACGATATTTCATATATGTTTGTGCACTAACCGTAGCTGGCAATGTCGTGCCGAAAACTGCATGAAATGTCAACACAAATCCTTTATTGAATTCCCTAATCTTCTAATATGTACGCTTAGAATCTATAATTCGTGTACTCTCAGAACGTATAATTCGTGTACGCTCAGAACGTATAATTCGTGTACTCTCAGAACGTATAATTCGTGTACGCTCAGAACGCATAGTTCGTGTACGCTCTGAATGCAACGTTCGTGTATGTACGCTCTGAACGCATAATTCGTGTAAGCTCAGAACGTATAATTTGTGTACGCTCTGATCGAACGTAAAATTCATGTACGCTCTGAACGTATAATTTTATAATTCGCTTGCTTCCGAAGCGTGCTATTCTCGTTAGCCTCAAACGAACAATATTCGCGCGCGCCTCATACGCACGCCACGCATAAACCTGCAAGACATCAGGAGCAATATTGATGCTTCACGTCAGACACTGAATCAACGTTGAATTAAACGGGTTTTCTTTGAATATACGTTAATTTCACGCTGTTGTGACGTCATTTGCTTGCTAGTGACGTCATTTGCCCGTAAAGCGTCCAGTGACCGGTTGTTCGCAGTATTTGCTTGGCAAAGAGTATTTATTAGGAGTATCGCAATAAAAACTGGAGTCGGTAGGAGTATTTGCGAAGAATTGAATATGGACAGATTTTTGCTGGGGAAAGAAGGTTTAGTAAAAATATTAAGAAAGAAAGGAGTAGGTATATTTGACAATACCATATGCAAGGAGAAGAGTATTTGATGAGAATTTATGCAAGGGAAAGAGTGTTTGGCAAGAACATATGGAATGAAAAATGAAAAAAGTATTTAGCCAGAATATATGAAAGGAAAAGGGTAGTTGGCATAAATACATGGAATGAAAAGAGTACTTAGCCAGAATATGTGCAAGGAAAAGAGTATTTGGCCAGGATATATGCAATTAAGAGAGTTGTTGACAAGAATATGTGCAAGAAAAAGAGTATTTGGCCAGAATATATGCAGGAAAAGAGCATTTGGCAGGATTATTCGCTAGCACCAATCAAGAGAGTTGCGTCCCGAGAGAGCGCGGCGCCTCAAAAGAAGCACACGACAAATTTTCTGGCGCGATTGAGCAGCGTTTTTCCAGCAGACATTCATTCAAGTCGAGGCTAGGATCTGAATTAGAGAATCCCATCGCTTTTATTAAGAGATTCTGAGTAAAATTAGGCCATTGAAGAACAAAAAATTAAAAACAGAATTAAGACGACGGATATGTGCGCTCTACTGAAATTTAATCATAGCAATATATATTCTAATTGCCTAGCAGATACACGTAGCGGAAATAGACAATCCGTGTTGCTGCACATGTTGTCAAACAAGATGCAGCGAATTTCATGCGTCAAATTTTACGTAAGCATTCGATGCGAGATAAATTTAGAAAAAAATTTTCGATGCGTCCAAACGCATTTCCATTGCGCGCGATTATCCTATGGAGATCATAACACCTATTTTATATATAAAGGAAGAGAGATTCGCTAAAACACATTCAGTAGGAAACTCTTATCTGTGTCTCGTTTTGAAATTATTATAATCTAGCATTTGAATAAAAACCTTTTATTTAGGCATAAAGTGTATACTTGCCTCGAGAAAAATTACATTTTATATGATAAATCTTACTCTTTAATTTTCAATGTCACAGAATAAGTTGATTAAAACTGATAAAAGAAAAATTTTTTCGAGCCAATATTTTAGACCAAAGTTCTATTCGACGCACGTTACAAAATGTGAAAAACTTTTTAATTGTCTTTTAAATGAATTGATGTGTCTTTTAATAATTTAAATTTATTACGTATTGTAAATGAATTATGGCAATAATTCAGAACTTAATTTTGAATTTTAATTTTTAATCCAATCCTTTCCCTCCTTCCCTCCAATCCTTTCCTATTCTCCCTCTAAGAATAAAACTTCAGGTCCAGGCAATATCCCTACACGATAAGTATCCTGGAAACGCGACACAGCAGCCTCTATATAGCTATTCGCTGAGGAAGGTTTCAAGTTCACACGCAAACTGTGACAAATGTACGTTTTTGACATAACTCTTTTAATATTGCCTTGTTTAACAGTATCTATAATTAATTATATTAATAACTAATATTTTTCACATGTATTCAATGGAACGTTCACATGTTTTCGTATTTTCACATGTATTCAATTTTTAGGAACGAAACTATCGCTGAAAAATTCATTCCTTTTTCGTCTGATATATGAACACCAATTCGGAATTTACTTAATACTATTTTCACATGTTAACAAGGAAAATCATGGACACTGGTTAATTTTTACTCACATTAAATATTCAAAACTTTGTGTAGAAATGGAGAAAAATTCATGTAAATCTGAGCGGCATAAACTATGAAAAGGAATAATTCAGTTTAAATTAGTTCTGTTGACTATAACGATTGGTGAATGCTAGCTAAGCTCGCTCTGTACTAGTTTGCACTCGAAGCTGACCGAGATGCGACGGTCATGACAGGAGCTCGGCGCTACACACCTCACCCGACGACGCCCAGCGGCGCACTGACCACCGATCATCATCTTTAGTTGCCAGCATAGAAATACGTTCAATAATTTCCTAATGCTGGAATAGTATAATGAAATTTTAAATATCATTATTAATACAATAATCAAATAAAGCTTACATGTGTGCAATGACTAATATAATAATTACATGACACTTAACAGTGAATGATGAAAAGTCTTGTATACATACTGTATGAGCTTCCAGCTGATTTGTGAGTCTTGTAAATAGTGCAAAAAGTCTTATTAATTCGTATATAAGCCGGAAAATTCAATGAAATAGTAGATAAATTTACACTGAATCCTTGCTATATTCCAACGAGGTACCTGGTATTGGTTATACATATTTAGGCAGCATTGAGCTCCACGACAGTATAACACGACCACGATTCCGAAGCAAACGTCAGTAAAATCTACGGTTTTCCTGACTAAGAGTTCAGTATCTTATTCTTTTTGAATCACCAAGTTCACCAGTAGAAACATTGTGCGTTAACAGAGTAGTTAAAAAACGCATCATTATTTCATAATGAAATTTCCATTTTATATCAGTAATTTTGTGCAGATATAAATTAGTGAGGCAAATCAAATCAGCAATTTAAAAAGTTTTAATGATATCAAATTGCGAGAAATTAATCGGCTCATGAAGAATTTAGGTTATTGGTCCAGCAAAGTCTGCTCATATGCCAAGCTGGCACCCGTCCCCCCATGGGGGTCGACTCAGGTTCCCCCCACGACCGTAAACATAACGAGCTGCGGGGGGGCGTCCAATTAGCGACTTACTGTGATCAAACAGCCAATCAGAGGAGACCTTGCTTACTGCTGCGGCATTTACGCAAATAATTTATTCTGCCTTGCATGTTTCTTTGATTGGTGTGTTGCAGGCAATATGAATTTCATAGCGAT